TAATTGTTGGAAATCCAGTTTTTCTTTAATAATAGCCTTGAGTTGTGTTCCTCCTTTCTTTGCTTACACTGTTTGATATTTAAACCTGCTGTAGCTTAGAGAAGCATGTCTACTTGACTAAATTGCTTTATCTGTCTTAACTGCCTTAATTGTACTACGTGAACCATGCTAGGTTAGGATTACCTGTTCACTTTGATATGAAATCGATTGAATTGAGTTCCGTTGTTGTTGTGTATTTACTTTGGGACTACAGAACGGTATTCCGGGAGATCTCCCTGCACTTTATTTTGGGACTACGGACGGTATCGCGGGAGCTCCCCTGTATGTTTATTTTGGGACTACGGAATCGCATTCCGGGAGATCCCCATGCACTTTATAAGTTTGACTGCGGGACTGCACCCGGGAGATCCACTAGACATGATATTTATATTTGGGGACTACAGGACGGTATCCTGGGAGATCCCCGGTTGTTATCTCGCAGTTGAGTTATGTTCTTTTACTGAGTTTTACTTGCCTTGTAATAGTTGTTGCTGTCCATTATATCTTGTGTTATTTAATTACACTGTCATCTCACACTATTAAACCTGTATCTTATTTAACCTCAGTAGGGCCCTGACCTTCCTCGTCACAACCCAACCGAGGTCAGGCTTGGCACTTACTGAGTACCGCTGTGGTGTACTCATACCCTTTCTGCGCACGTTTTTCATGTGCAGATCCAGGTACTTCTGCACAGGCTTACCATCCTTGAGTCAAGGAGAGCTTTGGAGACTTCGAGGTACATCTGCCGCGTCCGCAGACCGAAGAGTCTCCATCTTTATTCTATCTTGTATTATTAGCCCTTCTATCATACGGTTGATGTAGACATTCCGAAGTTAGAGCATTTTTACTATATTTCTCTCAGCATGTGTTCCCGTGAGTTTCCGGGTTTTGGATAGTATTGTAGAAGTTTGAGACATTGTGTTGTATGTTCTGAGTGGCATTTTACATTTCTTTTCCATTTTGTTGAATCTTGGTTTTATGTTATAATTTCCGCAAGGTTTCGATTGTTTTTCCGCACTTGTTAGGCTTACCTAGTCGTAGGGATGTGCCGTCACGACAGTTCACGGAGGGCGAACTGGGGTCGTGACACAGTATTACATTATTTTGACTACTACCGAACTATAATCGGTGGTCAGGCCCCTATTGGGCAACCTATGATGAGATGGTATGTTATATACCGATCCCACTATGGTCGAGCGCCTATGAGCAAGCCCAAAATGGCCGATATACAAAACCTAGCATGGCCGAGCGCCTATTAGCGAGCCTACTACGGCATAGCAGTTACATATACCGAGTTGTATAAGGCCGGACAACTATTTTATGTACTATATGGTGAGAGTTGAGTCAGTATTTATAAGTAAGCATATCTTCAAATTATCTTTGACTCCCAGTTACATTCAGCTATTAAATCATCAGTTCAGTTTCAGCTTTCAGTTATTATGTTGCCATACATACTCAGTACATTATTTAGTATTGACGTCCTTTTGCTGGGGACGCTGCATTTCATGCCTGTAGGTCCTGATAGACAGCTGGATAGACCTTCCCAGTAGGCAGTGCCAAACATAAGCTTGGTTGATAAACTCCACTTCCCCTGAGTTACCTGGTGTAGACCTTGGAGTCCATTTTATATATACAGGTTTGATGGGTAGGTCGAGGCCCTGTCCCGACCATGACACAGTATAGCTATCTCTAGAGGGGTAATCCTTAACCTAGGCCGATTAGGAGATATCAAATATACCAAGTTAAGCTTATCTCCTTCACGTGCATCCTACTTGCTCGAATCTGCCCGTGTCTATAGGGATGGACCTGGTTCATGCCTGAGCTTCCTTTGTCAATCTTCAAAACAAACCTTCACTTGGACCAACCAGAGCTGAGTCATAAGAGTTCGAGCCATGAGTTATGTTTCCTATTGATATAGAGATTTTTGCAATTAGAAAAATTACAGCTAGCTAGAGGGCTACTACAGCAATAGGTAAGGGCACTAGTAGAGAGAGAATTCTTAATAATGTGGCCCAGTTTGAGGCCCTGTTAGATCGTGCATACTAGATGTGCTACCGAATATACCCCACAAATAGCAGGCCATGGGAGTATTAGAAGGTAAAAGTATATGTTTTTAGAGATAACGGAAGCAAGGTGAAGAAGGGTACGAGGTACTCAATTAATGAAGATTATCCAAATTTTCAATTCAGGCAGAGAAACATACGACTTCTAAGTTACCTTTAATGGAAATAGAGGTACATACAATTGGCCACACCCATCTCATTTGTGCCCTATGGGAGCTAACATATATGGTTTAAGAGAAGATGGAATATTAGGATCCAGCTCGGGTTAGAGTAACTCATAATGGTGGATTGAGCCAGGGGAGCTAAAAGTGAAACAATGTTTTGTTGAGATTTTCAGAATAATGTGATAGACAAATTAGCAGGAGAATAAGAAGAGAGTAAATGAAGCATAATGAGTAAGGTATGATAAATGAGTGATAACGGTAAATCAAAATCTGGTAGGTTGACAGAGTCTATGGTCAAGTGAAGGAAAATACAAGAGGTCACAAGCCTGGAGACAATAAAAGAGTATAAGCCATGAAGTCATATCCTTATTTCAAGAAAATGAGTTGGTGACTCAAACATAATTACAAGATGGTAAAGTAAGACTCAGCATAGGCTAGTAAACAAGATAAATCGAACATGAATTAGGGATCCGAGGATTTGGTAATAGTCAATATCGTGAGAATTTCAGAGGCCATGTTCCGACAAAAATAGAATGGACAACAGAAGAATAACCTTTAAAGGTCATTTAGGAAGACGCTTTCCTAAAGCAAGCACTGTGACCCCTCGCGCTTAAGAAATTTAGTTATCCCTGATAGAGAAGGGTTATCGCAAGCGAGTAAGAGTCAGTGAAGACGTGAAAAGATGCCAAAGATGAAGAGGTAAAATATTTGATCTTCATAGCATTAAATGTTAGTACTCCCTTAAAGAGGGAGAAGATGGGGTGATATGATATTAAGTCGGAGTAAAGTGGTTCAAGTAACTATGGAATGGTAAAGCAAGATTGCGGTAAAAAAGCGAAAGGGGTGCGATTGCATTTATTCAGATCATAAAGATATGTTACGACTCCAGAATATTATGCAAGCACGATGACGGGGAGAGGCAGTAAGGTTCCAATCCAGGATGTTAGTGATAGCAAGTGTGAATGAAAACTTGATACATAAGAAAACGGTGCGATAGGTAAGTTAACATTAACAAAAACAACAACAAACCCAGTTTGATCCCATAATTGGGGTCTGGGGAGGGTAGTATGTACGCAGACCTTACCCTTACCTCATAGAGATAGAGAGGCTGTTACGATAGACCCTCGGCTCAAGAAACAATGAAAAAAAAGCACCAACTAACAAAGAATGTTAGCAACAATGTAACATAGTAACGAGTGCAAATGTCACAACATGTATAATAAAGAACTGGACCGATAAGTGGTAATAAAGAGCTGGTCTAATGCAAGAGACAAAGGAAATAACCCTAGAAAGGTTACGCAGAATATAGATATGAGCATGGATCGATAAATGGTTAGTTGATTTAGGAAGAGCCTAGTTATGGATAGACAAGAGGTCTAAGATAAATCAGTAGATCATGAAAGGCAAACACTGTGAAATCCGGCATAGATTCAGTCTCGTGTATACGAGATGGTAATCCTAGAGAAATATTCAGATAGGAGTCGGGGTAGTTAAAGGTACCGGATAATTTTTACAGAATAAAAGAGTGTGCCACTTGGGAGACAATGAAAATCTCGGTTTCATAAGCAACACTACGAGCATAAGGGTGCGGAGGTAAGTAACTAAGGATAATTATAGGCGAGTAAAAACCTCAAAAATTCATTCGAGTATACGATGTAATAAGCTCGCAGTTTTACACGAGTCAGAGGGTCTCCCCTAAGTACTACAATGAAAGGCTAGCTGAGGAAATAAGGAGGAAGACCTCAACACAAGCACAGGACCTAAAGAAGAAATGTCACACCTCCTTTTTTACACACCGCCCCCCGAAAGATAATGTATAAGAGAGTTTTTCTATTTAAAGTGACATTATTCGAAATGGAATTATTTATTTATTTTAGAGTCGCCACTTGGGATAGGTTTGGCTTTTGGTGTCCCAAGTCACCGGTTTATCTTGAATCCCAGATCGAGGAAAATTTCGACTTCCCGAATGGAGTCTGCGAACCAGAATTCTGAATAAAGAATTCTGTTGACCCGAGGGAAGGTGTTAGGCACCCCCGAATCCCGTGGTTCTAGCACGGCCGCTTAAACCATTATAATTGGCTAAAACTCTGATTTTAATACATGTCATCCTATAGTGCAATTTTAAACTTATTTACCGCTTTTAATTAATTTTTAGGAAATTGAACGTCGTTTAAAACATGTTTTCGGATCACGTCACATGAAATGCACCCGAATCCTCGACACATTTTATTCAACGTTTTGGGATTTCGATTTGGGTCACATGAAATGTACACCCGACTTTAGGAAGGTAAAATTATTAAAGAACGTGCCTAAAACGGCTAACGCGTTATTAACTTTGCGGGAGGCCATGAAAATTCGCTAAATGGCACGTCCCGATTTCTAAGTATTTTAATGTAAGCATTTAAAGAGGGCCACGCATTTGAGATTTTATTTGGCATGGCACGCCTCAAATTATTCTAAAGGGTGGCACTCAACTTAAAGCAAACTACGGATGTTACTCAATTATTCATCTCCTATTTTTGATTCCACCGTTAAAACCAAATCCATGGAACTTGGATTAAAGTTTCACATGAATGAGTGTATGCTCCAAATACTAAATGTTCTTGCAAATTTGTCTCGTTCTGCTACTAAACTCCAATGAAGCAAATTTGCATTGTAAAAAAAATTGAATTTCTTCCAAGAAGCATAAATCAACCAGAATTAAGTAACTACATTAGGTAAATCTTGTTTCTCATCCACGTCAACAACATTGAATATTCATGAATGGAAGACACAAAATCGAATTCATCTGATCATTCCTTATATTAGTACTGCTTGTGTCAACAAAGTTTGACTAGAATGGAGATTAGGAAGATAATCCAACTGGTTTAAATATACAACTTGGAATAGAGGAAATGCGTCCTTAATATCTGCCACTTTTAATAACCACAATCTACAACTAGGCAACAACCAGTTTACAGCAGGTAGCTAATTCCATCTTCACATATATCGCACTCCAACATGAACCTTTTCTAAAAAAAATTCAAAAAAATAACATACTGTTGTTCATGAACCACTTCATATCTCGTGAGGAAAGAGCTAAATTACAAACTATCAATTTCAAACAGTATGGACCTTGTCCGAAAACAAATTTATGCATTTCATCATATTTCAAGTGAAATAAATGACACTTATTGATGCTGGAACAGGTTGACACAGCGAATTCCAATCAACATACGATTAACAACCAGAATCAAGCATGACCTTGTATTTAAGCCAAATCTGAAAATTACAAGTTTAGCGAATACATACCTAATGGTGCAAGATTAAAATCAAAACCAACTAAAGTCCAGCACTGTCCATGGTTAGAGCTTCAGCAGCACAGCAGTACAACAGCGAAATCAGCAATTTTTGAGAGTTTGAACACTCCAACTTTCTCTCTGAAATTTTTTGTCCGATTTTTCCAAATTTTATCCAGGAATTTCGAAAGAAACCTCCATGATTTCAAACTCACTGTTTACCTCCTCTCTCTGTCCGTTCTCAATCGAAAATGGCCAAATGGGAAGGGGTGGTTCTGTCAAAAATCTAGTGAAGAAAATGATAAAAAAGCTGCGTTCCTTGGGTCTGTTTATTGTAATTTTTCGGAAGAAGAAAGAATAGAGGAAGACCAAAAAATGGGGAGCTGCGCCCTTTTGCTTGGGAGGGGATGTCTAAAATCTGATCTATTTTGTGCCTTAACTCCCCTTTTATGTGAGGGATTAGGGCAAAGGGTAATGGGTATTTTGGTAGGGAGATTGGGCTTTGAGTGACTTATTGAGTTTGGGCAGATTTGGGTATAGGCTTTGGGCTCAGCATTAATTTTGGCCCAATTTCACAAGACAACCCTTTCTTTTCCAATTCTTTCTTTTATTTTAAATTTTCCTTTTCTTTAATTAAAATCCTACAAATTGAAAAATTCTAAATTATTTAAAATGTGAAATTAAACTAATCAACTAATTAAAAAAATTATAAAAGCTACTTAGTCCTAAAATAAAAGAGAAAAAAAATCAAATAAAGGAAAGAGTGTAAAAATGAAGCATTTTTTAGTGATTTTCAATTTTTATAAAACAAGTAACTATTGGTTAATTCTAAAAATGTAAAATAAAGCCTAAATGGCATGCGTAATATTTTTGGTATTTTTCATGATTTAAATAAAACTGAAACATGCAAGACAAATGCAAACAATTAATAAAATCTATTAAAATTCCTTAAAATGGTAATTAATTAAGGAAAAATCTATTTTCTTGGATTTTGTAGGAGTATTTCATATAGGGCGTGCTTACAGCTGCCCCTCTTTGCTCGGAAACATGAAGAGTTTTCGGGCAAAGATAAAGTGAGCAATATGAGGGATTTTTGCCCGTTTGAAACTCCATGAGAAGCATTTTTTTAAAAAGAGCCTGACCGAACGTTGCTTCAGAAGTTGCCTACATATCCTTCGCTATAAAGGAATCAGGTCAGTGTAGTTCTGGAAGTTTCGGTAGCTGGGACTACCAGGAGCTGTGATTTCACTGTTGTTGCTGCTGCTACTGCTTGCTGACCTCCTTATTACACCAAAAGGAAAATCAAAGCTAAGCTAGCTATGCCTATCAACTATGAGTTACAAGATTCCTATCTATAATTCTCTTGAAACTTGATCTTGAGTCTTAGCTGATTTTGTTGTGGACCCTGATCTGAATCTTGATGCTCGTAAGTTGTAGGTGTTTGTCTCTTTCTGCAGAATTGGGTCGGAAAGGGATCAGCGGAGCTTGTGACTTCAATCAGATTTTGAGCAATCCGCACCCTTGTTTGCTTCACATTTGAGTTCATTTCTTTTGTTCTTTTTCTTCTTTTCTTTATTCTGGATTGAGACTCATTCTTTTGGTCATCTCGAATCCTGTGCCTTGAGGTAAAACCTGTTCAGACACCAAAACAAACAAAAGAACGAAATTTCTCTGCCCCAGTTTTCACTAGAAAAATTTTGTGAGTTATTTGTGACACATATCTAAGAGATCAAATCAGGATTGTGTATCCTTGGGAATGAAGCCAGGTTATGCTGGGAAATGGTCGGGTTATGCCGGAAAAGAAAAGGGGTCCTCGGGTTATGCCGGGACGGAAAGAAAAAGAAGCTCCTTGGGTAATGCCAGAGAGATCCACGGGTTATGCCAGGATTTGGAAAGAAAAAGCTCCTTGGGTTATGCCAGGGAGATCCTCGGGTTATGCCGGGATTTGGAACGAAAAAAGGCTAAAGGGAAAAACTCTCAACTCAGGGATTGGAGCCCTAATGTTGGCTAAAGGAAAAACGCTCAACTAAGGGGTTGGAGCCCTAATGTTGGCTAAAGGGAAAACGCTCAACTCAGGGGTTGGAGCCCTAATGTTGGCTAAGGGAAAAACGCTCAACTCAGGGGTTGGAGCCTAATGTTGGCTAAGGGAAAAACACTCAACTCAGGGGTAGGAGCCCTAATGTTGGCTAAGGGAAAAAACGCTCAACTCAGGGGTTGGAGCCCTAATGTTGGCTAAAAGGAAAAACGCTCAACTGAGGGGTTGAAGCCCTAATGTTGGCTAAAGGGAAAAATGCTCAACTCAGGGGTTGGAGCCCTAATGTTGGCTAAAAGGGAGAAACGCTCAACTCAGGGGTTGGAGCCCTAATGTTGGCTAAAGGGAAAATGCTCAACTCAGGGGTTGGAGCCGTACTGTTAGCTAAAGGGAAAACGCTCAACTCAGGGGTTGGAGCTCTAATGTTGGCTAAACCGAGTAATAGGTTGATTATTGGGAATTCTAAACTATCCTTTTTTGGGATCCTTCTGTTATCTCTTTTTTTTTTCTCTTTTTTTCATTTCTGATGAGATGCAGGAAAGAACTTGAAGGAAACTTCCCTTTTGCATTGATTATTTGCTGCAAAGCTGTTTCAGCACTTGCGCGTTTCTTTTCTTTTGGTTGCACCTGCTTTTGCGCGGTTGCCTGGATTGCACCTGTTTCAATTTTCAAACAAAGAACAATTGTTAGTTTGAAACGGTGGTTGGTTTTGTGGCCTTGATTGCTTGATCCCGGCCTATCTTCTGTTGAGAACCTTTGCTGCTTGCTGGTTTTGAAGATTCTTCTCTCTTTCAAACCGGAAGGCTCAACTTTCAGGATTTCATGACGACTCGCCCGCGTGGGGCTCCGGCCTTTCACTTTATTCTGCCTTTAAGACCTTTGTCCTTGACCTTTTTTGTTTTTCTCTTTCAATAGCTTGATTTCAAAGCATCCGCCATCATCGCCAGTCGGGATTGACTTGATGCACCCGCTGAGGCTGGGTACTTTTCTTTAGCTTTTGTTAGGGAGAGCCCTGTAAAGCCAGTCCTGCCACCTTTTCTTTGTAATAGCTTCGGAATCAGCGTTAGACCGAAAGGGATTCAAGGAAAGAGTAAGCAAGAAGATGAATTTAAAGAGAAGCGTCCCTTTCGGGGGGAAGAGAAGGACTTATCTGGAGGTGCATGCTGGCTTCAAATGGACATGACATGCTTCTTGGACTGGATGCCCGACCCGCACAAACTTTCCAGCTTCTCATGAACCCATTGATCCGTATTTCTAAGCCAGAGAACCTTGCCAGGACTCTTTCAGTGGTGATATGTCTTCTTTCCGGCCGACAGCGCCCTTTGCGGGTTTTCGCCAATCGACCTCTCTCATTTCTCTTCTCCCCGTCGCCCGATAGTGCTCGTTACGAATTTTCACTAAGCGGACTCTCTCATTTTCAATTTCCCTACTCACCGTCGCCTTATGGTGCCCGAAGGTTTTCACCGATAACACTCTCTCATTTTATTTCTCTCAATTTGACTTGTATCAGATTCCAACAATGACATTTTCACTTCCCTGCCTTTGCCAATTGATCGGGAGGACTTGGACAAGGTCGTTGGGTAAAAAGGATTTTGGGTGGAACTTACAACTTTGGAACCGTTTCGGCGGATTCGTAGCCGAACCATCATATCATCTGCCCCAGTTTCAACTTTTGGGGAAATTTGGGGTTTTTGTTTTGGTGTGACTGAACCTCAGGGAGAAGCTGCTTACGTATCCTTTCGGAACTAAGTCAAACGTAGTTCAGGAAAACATTTGTTTTTGTTGTTTTTGTTTTTGTTTTGTTTGTTTTTGTTTTTTCTTTTCTTTTCTTTTTCTTTTCATCATATTTTCCTTTTCTTTTCTTTCTTTCTTTTCTTTTTTCATCATATTTTCTTTTTCTTTTTTTTCTTTTTTTTTTCTTTTCTCTTTTTTTTCGATAATACTTTCGGGTTCCAAAGAGGGTAGCCAAAGAAGGGTAACCGGCTCAAATGGGTTTACGAAGGGTTAATAGTGTTTGGATAGCGAGAAGAAAAGCCTTCGTCATCTCAATTGCACAAAAACCAACACCGCAGAGAGCCTAGACATAGTACCTTTTATTGTATCTGTATTCACAGCTGTTTCGGGATCATTTCCTTTGATATCTTCCAAATACAATGCTCCTCTCGGCAATATTTTTCGGATCATGTATGGACCCTTCCAAGTAGGAGCGAATTTTCCTTTTGCTTCCTGGTGATGAGGGAGAATGCGTCTTAACACGAGTTGTCCCACTTCAAAATTCCTGGGACGCACCTTCTTGTTGTAAGCGCGGGTCATTCTTTGTTGGTACAACTGCTCGGATGTGCCCTGAGTACAGCACACTCTTTTGTTGTAATGTATGGATCTTTCCAAACCGTGAACCAATTTTCCTTCAATTGTTCCAATTCTTTGTTTTATTTCCTCAAGGTTACCTTCTTTGCATTTCGACTCTTGATTCATTATTTCGAAATCCGACAGCGTTTTGGGATCTAGGCATGAAGTTTGCAAGCATGTCATGTTATTTAAAGCTGCATTATTAGAGCTAAGGAGAAGAAATGAAGGAGAAAAAATAGCAAAATCAGAAAAAATAAAGAAAAATGAACGATGAAATATTGATTTCATTTCTTGGAATTTTGAAGATAACAGGGTTCACATTCGGGAATTTAAAGACAAGAAACTACAGAAAACATCCGAGTTACACCCTGGAATAACTCGGGATGCAGAAAAAGTAGCAGGACGGGTCTACCAGGACTCCCGCCTGATCGGGAATGGCGTAGCCTTCCAGTTTTGAAGCTTGGCGCTTGGTCCCATGTATAACACCGTAGCGGTGCTAGTGCCCTCTCCCGGCTGGACCATGTGGGTTTCGTAGAGCATTTTCTCATTGCCCCACGTATTTCCTCACTTTCTTCAGCCATGAAAACCTCATCATCTTCCTCTTTACCGTACTTAGTCTTGACAAAAGTTTCATACAAATGTACTACCTCATAATCGGCCATTTTCATTTTTTGAAAGAACACTTCTGCTTCCTCAGCACTCACAGGCTTCTTAGGCGTGAAACGCCTTCTGGTGGCATTGTTTACCTCCTCTACATTTGAATATTTCTCAACAGGGGGGTTTTCTAGCAGTCCTCCCAAGATCTCTTTACCCTTGTACGTAACCACTGTCTGATGATAATTCCATGGTACCGCAGCAGGGTTCGTCATAGGCTTCTGTGCTACGCGTCCAATAACCACTGGCTCACTCAGCCGAGGTGGTTTGATTGTCTCCTGCACCACACAGGCTTGCTTGGGTATGTACATTTGTGTTCCTTTCAAATCAGCTTTCTTTTCTGGTTCTGTCTTGGTGATTTTGCTCTTCTTTTCCCCTTTCTCTTTCTTCGGGGCCACCTTTGGCTTTCTTTCTGCATCAGCGATAGCAATTATAGCTTTCAATGCTGGATCAAATTCTTTGTCTTCACAGATCATCCAGATCACCGGTCCGTTGTTGTGGGCTAGCAATGGATTATTGGTCACATTTGGGATATCCTCATCCCTCAGTATTATTTTTCCTTGCTCTATTAAGTTTTTCACTGCTTGTT